CCTCTAAAGATAGACAGCAGTGAGCTTCGAAAACCTCAGAGTAATAATAAATGATTCATCAGATTTTAAAAACACTGCCTTTTCATAAATGGTATACATACAATAATCAATTTTTGGAAATGAACTAGAAACTAAAAAATTACCTCGCATGCTACATACATTTTATGAACATTGATCACATAGCACACTTCCAAATGGCTATTGATTTCACATTTTTTGTACGAGTTTCCATACTGCATCATCTATCACATTTGAAGTCTTCCGATTGGGCAAACATTAAGGAGTGCATTTTTGTACATAATGTACTGTTAATATTATGTACAAAATGCACCTGGTGCTCACATGGTATTTTTGTACATAATGTAGCTGGTGCTCACATAACATACACAGCAAAACATTTGTTGTACGTAAAGAAAATTTGGATAATTTCTCATTCTTTCTTTACTTGGATTCAATCATTATAATATGCATAATATTTTCGATATTAGAATTTTTAAATCTGATAAATCATTTACAGTAGCCCTAAACAATGGCGCCTGTTCAACTGCACATTAAACGTGGAGGCTGTTTTTTTTTGGGGGGGGGTGTTTAATTTATTTGATTACAGTATAGTAACTTGGCTAAGGTTAGAGGTACTTTCAAAGAGAAGTTAGCTTATACATATTTCATATATGCAGAAAACTATGAAAACACACGTGCAGCCAACCTGTTCGCTAGAATGTAAACCCAGGTCGAATTATCAGTATTCAACTACTTTACTTTACTGCTTGGCTGCTAGCGAAGCCAGAGCTAGATATTTTATCACCTAAATAGAATAACTGCTGCTTGCAAATTATGCCTTCCAGTTCCTGCCAAAATTCTAAAAATTTTGACGCTCCTATGTCTTGCTGCCCATTGCACTCATACAGGTTGCCCTGGCCACCGATGAGCATTAAACGTGAAGGCAACTGGAATGTAATGGACCATACGATTACACTTGGTTTCAGACCTGTATGGGGATGCATAATGCATGACATAATGTGGCATTTTTTTGATGCAGACCATGGATGTGATCCTTGATGGTGTTGATGTATTAAGATTCATCTGGAAAAAATTAATTTATATTATTTATCCTTCTATTTGCAAAGTTCTATGCACAACTATAGCTGTAGTCACTTATAATGTTCTAACGAGGGTTTGGTTAGGTTACTTGAACATGGCAAAGCATCTAAGGGCTGCTTATTTTTTCTACCAAAGTTAGCTGAAACAATGGTCACTTTAAAAAAAAAAAAACTACTTTAACTTTTTGCTATGTAGCACCTTACTTAGTTCTGAACTGAAGAATAATATAACTGTAACAGCCATACATACAGATTATGTTATCTTAATCAATGAGTCAAACTAGTGAGTTCATTCACCAGCTCAGGTAGGAAAACCAGATCAAGTAGGATAGTGCTTTTTTTTTTTTTTTTTTTTTAACATAATTAAATATAAGTATAAAGCATATGTGCTTTAAAAATGATAATTCAAATTGTGACAAAGGTATCTATTTATTATTAATACATCTCAGATTTTTAGAGGTAGTTATTTCCCAGCAATGATGTCTGTGCGTTTTCTTTGGTGGTAAAATAAAAATCTCATAGATTGAAATAATAATCATTCCAAAAGCATATTGCAATAGTAAAGTTCTGATATATGCAAATAAATCATTATGTGGAAGAAAGGAAATTGGTTTGAGGGAAGCACAGCTTATTAATTTTTGTTCATCACAGTTCACAAAGTGTATAACTTACTCAAAATAATTCTAAAATGATGAATTTTGGTACTTTCTAATTTTCTGAACCTCACCAGAATGCTGTGAAAAAGTATTGATGGTCTAAACCATGATGCGAAGAAAAATTTATGTGGCTACACATGTCACTAAAAATCATTTATATGGCAACCCAAGTATACACATAGCATTCTCCCAGACAGCACTTCTCCAGATATTTTCACCAGTGTGGTTGCAGATTATGATCCCTCCTATGGGAATTTCAGTACTTCAGCATTCGGGTGGACCACATACCGCAGTTTCTGTTGTCTCTGGTAAAATCTTTGGCGATGTTGCTTTCTGCATGCATACAACATAAAAGGCATCACATGCCTCTCTTTCCTTTCTCATTTTAGGATTCTGGTGCCAAAATTTTGCAATTTTCTGTTTTTTTTTTTTTTTTTTTTTTTTTTTTTATTAAAAGATTTATAGGGAAAACAACGGTGAAAAAAAGCCTAGAATTGTGCGTGTCTTGTATTGAAGAAGAAAAATGTAAAACAATAGGTGGTGGTGGATGCATCGTTGAAATAAATTTAAAGATATGCAAACAAACATCCCTCTCCTAACTCACCAACAAGTTTGCAAATGCTCTTCAAAGTTGCCAATGAGTTCATGACTTTTCAGTGCCAATGAGTTCATGACTTACCACATCTGTGGTAAGAATGTAAATTCCATATATTTTATGGCTCTTGTTAAAGATGGAATTAAACACAGGAATTTTAATTTAATAACTTATATTATTTATTATTTGTTTCCCTTAATGGGAGAGCAAACATAAATATTGGTGCAAAATGTAGTTTAAAATATTAATGGTAAATTTAAAATACATTCAAAATGCAATTTGTCACACTAGATCATCATCCCCATCTTAAAAAAAAAAAAAAAAAAAAAAAAAGTAATGAAGTAGAAATAGATAATGGAAATGACACTGTGTATTTTAAATTCAAAAACTCGTTTCGGCGATTCCGGATTATCGAATTATAGATCATCAGTTTAAATCTGGTAAGATGGCATGCAGAAATTACAAAATTAAAAATATGAAACCGTAATTTATGAAATAAAGAACAATTATGATCTAAAGGGTATCAAAATTTACAAAAAAAAAGTTTAATATTTATTTGTTTACTTTTTTAAACATTTCTTTCAATGTAAGTTGCTTCGTTTCATGTGATAATACTTTCTCTTTAATTCTATTAAACAGACATAATTTTCTTGTTTAGTTACAAAGTTCCGCTGTTCAAGTCCTATAATTGCTGTGTTGAGAATACCGACTAATTTGTCAATCGAAATGTTTTCGTTTTCAATAACCTCTGGGTCACTTTCTTCACTATCGGAAGCGAATTATAATAACGAGGAACTTGATTTAAATAATATCAAAGACGGAGTATATCGAGATGAAATACTACACTTAGTACGGAATTATAAACCAAATAAAATGAAAACATCTGCTCTGAAGATAAGGATAGTGCTGACAGATCAACTTCCAATCCGCAGCGTGAAATTGATAAACAGATTTCGGATTTCAAAACATACTTTCGCTTTGTAGATACAAATTACATATTAGTAAATATATATCCGAAATTCTATTTGACATAATCTTTCTAATCTATCATAATCTAATAATGACGTTTCTGACCCCCCCTCTGCCGCAGAGCAGCGTGAAATTGATAAACAGATTTCGGATTTCAAAACATACTTTCTCTTTGTAGTAAATATATATCGGAAATTCTATTTGACATAATCGAAAGTTCAAGCTTACTTTTATAAAATTGCTCTAACAGTCTGCAAAAAGTAATAAGCCGGATCCAATTCGAAGATTAAGGAACAACGCAATCTGCAACATTAACTGAATTAGATAACTTTAGCTTAGCGTATAACTCCGTTACACATTAAACGCGCATGCGCACAAACATATTCGCAGCTGTAAGGGTCTTATGTGCTCTCGTAAACGCCTGTGCGCATGCGTGAACGCCACGCATGCGCAGAAAGTTTGTAGCTTTGAGGTCCGGATTATGGGTGTCCGAATTAACGACTTTTGACTGTAAATGAAAATTTAGGATAATCCAAGCAATGTTTATGTGTCTAAAAAGTATATTCCTTGCTACCTAATGCATACTAAAAGTTACTGATAAAATTAACTGACAAGTTACTTTTAAAACAAGAATATTAAGAGCGATTCAAAGGTTATATTTAATTTAATGGACAGTAGGCAATGTAGGCATATATATTTTGCTGTAAATTGACTGGCAAATGTTATTCAGTAAAGGCAAAGATCCCACGTGTGCTTTCTCTATATAACTACTTTGATCTAGTCCATCATTAACAATATTTTTCCTGGGATTCCATCTCAGAGTGAAAACTGAGATAAATTTAGGTGTATAATTGTAAACTTTGTAATCTTGTTCTTAAAAATGTGGTTGTATCACGATAAAAGATTAATAAACTATGTTAAATATTGTTTTTCCAACATTCCATTAGCAAAATGCTATATGGATATAACCCTCTCAAGCAAATAACCCATTTTCCTTCCTTTGTAATGATCCGGTATTTCTCAAGTGTGTATTGCATAAAGTGAAAATATATATTAACATATGAATTAATTCAGTTGTACATAAAATCAGCTCTGACTTAACTTATTTTTTTTAAAGGATTAAAACATAACCGCTCTAATCCGAACAAGTATGGCTGGAGTACGAGGAGCTTAACCACGTGACAAAACAAATGACGTCGAAAGCTCTATGTTACGTCTAAATTCTTCTAGCCAATAGCAGCGAAGCAGCTCTCACAGCAGGAGGTACAGCGAGTAGAGCTACTAGAGATATAGTAGCCTTAACAGCGAGTACGTTTTAGGAACATGCGTCCCTTATCAAGGTATTCCTGCGAAGCACTGTATGTCACGTCTCCCCTAACCTGGTTTATTTGAGGTGCCTGTAATAGCGGGATATAATTCCTGCTGAAACAGGCATATCAAAAGTATCAAAGTATCATGCTTGGGCTTTTATCAATGTGTGCTTTCATCGGTGTGGGCGTTTGTCGTTCGAGCAATTATCACAGTGGGTTCTCATTTCTGGGCTTTTATCGCGTGCGCTCTCGTCCAGTGGGCTTTTGTCTAGTCACCTGCTACGTTATATATAAATTCCGAAATTGTTAAAATTTTCTGTGACTTTTTTCTCTAAGAGATAAAAAGACATGATTTCAGGTGCAAAACACATTTCTGTTCGCACGTTATGCTTGTTTACTATGCTACCGTGATCCCACGGAGTATACGTGCGTGATCCTAAGCAATAGTGCTCAGACGTTATACAAAACTTTTATGGAGCTTCAATCTACTTTTATTAACGTATTAATTATATATATTTCATTGATATCAACGTAATGGATTTTTCTCTACCTGATAGTGATATTTGGGATGATTCGCCTTCTCAAGACAAATTCCTCGAAAACTACTTTAAAGACTATATGGTATTCTTTTTGCTTCCCTTCTGTTTTGAAAATATATTTCTGGAGAACTTGTTATGTAATTGTTAATTTATTTTAAATCCTAATATACCACTTTTGGAGCCCCACTTTTGTAAATGTAGGAATGTATTATAGAAGTTTAACAGCGACTGATCTTTTAATTCTTGATCAATAGTCTACAGTTCATTTAATTTGTTACTAAACATTGTGTCTCAATTGAGGTTTCATGTAATCTTAGCTTTCCATGCTATAAATAATTATCTGTATAATCGCAATATTTGGTACATACGAGATTTGGCGAAATTCCGAAGGCGATAGGTAAAGCGCGTCATTTTGGTGTTCTCGACGATTTTCAGAATCACGCCAGGGCAAAGAATATGTACTGTAAAAGGGCAAAGACTTTCTTTGGCCAGGGTCAAAATGTGCTTTAGCCCACTGCTTGGCGATTTTTTGAAAATCGCTAGTAAAATCTCAGAATACGTTGCGTAAACAAAGTTGCTAAGGCGAGCTAAGTGACGTTCATAAATGGGTGGGACTAAAATTGTGACGTCACAATGTATTCTCTATAGATATAGAAATAAAGTATAATAAATTCTTTATATTTTAAGTTATAGTAATGCAGTAAGTGAATTGTACCAGTTGTTAAAACGGTAAACAATGTTGCAGTCTCTCATATTTGTATTTCATACAGCTTCAGTATTTTCAAAGATTTTAAAATTTATACAAATAAAAAAAAAAGATTTTTATTATTAAATTTATTTTGGCAATTATATCAGAATGTTGCAAATTATTGCGTGTCTTTTAAATAAAATAGTATATATTCCAATTTACATTAAATCTATTAATATAAGGGCTTAATAAATTTAAAGACTTACCCCTTTGATGTTTTTTTTTTATGCTGGATTATATTCCGGATAGCTACTAGAAAAATACTAACCTCTTCTTTTGTGAATGATTCAACGTTAAATAAATCATACACATGATTTTGATTTTTTTTGGGGGGGGTTTATATTGACATAATATTATTTACATTTTCAGTTTAAAAGGTAATCATTTAAAGAACAATATCCGAATCCAGCCGATTCAAAAACTACCAAAAATCGAGTTTAAGTTCTAAAAAAAAAATGCTAGTTCTACGGTTTTCATCTGGTTTCTCTCTGTTGCTAATACGCTTGAAGCAAACTATTTCCCTCTTTTTCTTTTTTTTTTTTTTTTTTTTTCTTTCTTTTACCGGAAGATTAGGTATATTGATCTTTACATTATGGTAACTTGGCGATTTTTTGGCGAAAATTTGGCGACCAACTCTCCTACAGCAACCCTCTATTTTTTTTTCCCCGCCGCCATTTTGTCTTCACGAAGTAAAGACATGTTTCTTTTCTTTTTATCTCCTGAACACTTCTTCCAACAGTCTACTAGCCAAATTACACTTATGCTAGAAATTTTATCAAACAAAACTGCTTAATCATGACAAATATTCACTGCAAAATTAGGAAAAACTGCACAATACCATCCTCCTTACGCATTTTTTCAAAATAACACATACACATAAACCATGTACAAACGCTGACTTATTGTTACTTAAAAAACATCCCAGAATTGCACACAAAAATGGCATTGCGCACACTCTTCACTATATCCATGTACACTGCTTTTTTCTCATAAATTAAAAAAATTTCACGAAAATACGTGACAATTTTCTCAATCTTTAAACCCGGTAAAAAGAACATATATGAAATTACATGATCACGAAAAAGTATTTATTTACCCTTTACAAATATCAACATTTCCACATATAAAATAAATAGAATATCCAAAAACTTTTACTTCTAAATCATCTATTACATTATACACGTCACCAACGAATTCATACCGCAAGCATTACAAATACTTAATATCAAATATTTAAAATTATTTCCATGCACGTTTTATTTCAACTTAAACGTATAACAAATTCCTACAAGCATAAAATTCACAAAAAATAACTATCATTTCATTACAATATCACTAAACCATGTACACGTCGACTTATTTTTACTTAAAAAAACATCCCAGAATTGCACAAAAATGGCATTGCGCACACTCTTCACTATATCCATGTACACTGCTTTTTTCTCATAAATTAAAAAAATTTTACAAAAATACATGACAATTTTCTCAATCTTTAAACCCGGTAAAAAGAACATATATGAAATTACATGATCGCGAAAAAGTATTTACCCTTTACAAATATCAACATTTCCACATATAAAATAAATAGAATATCCAAAAACTTTTACCTCTAAATCATCTATTACATTATACACGTCACCAACGAATTCATACCGCAAGCATTACAAATAGTTAATATCAAATATTTAAATTATTTCCATGCACGTTTATTTCAACTTAAACGTATACCAAATTCCTACAAACATAAAATTCACAAAATAACTATCATTTCATTAAAATATAATTAAATTCAAAAACACTACTTAAAATATAAATGAGCACATACATTAAATTAATAAAAATTACCTTACAATCCTAATTACTTTAAACTAAATCATAGCTAATAACAATTTTCCCAATAATACCAAATTCCTTTCCACCTTACATTTACAACGATGCATAAAAATAATATCCTCAAATAATTAAAAATACTAACATACCTAATCTTCTTCAGAATCTTGATTACGTGGCGGATACACTTTTCTTCCTTCTGTTTCAGAATCTTTAAAATCATACTTATCTTTCAAAGCAAGATACCAGGTAAAATAAATAACATAATAAAACATCTTTATTTCTCTCTCGCACAACCTTAAAAAACATTTATTACTATCCTTTTCAATACCACTAAATACCCATTTCGAATTCACTTTAGTTATGGCCATGGGATCCAAAAATTCACAAACACTATTTCACACAACACAGAATAAAGCCAAATACAAAATTGCCAGATTTTTTCCCGATTAAAGAACAGTAATTCGTCCATTAATATCACATGACATATCCCATGATCTCTCATTTCCCCCACACGAAATAATGCGTAATCGGAACTGAGTACTGCTCACATTATTACCAAAGTCCCAGGTAGTAATCTTTATCGCCTCGAAAATGTCGCCAAACTATCAGTTACCATATTGTAAAGATCAACCTACCGGAGTAGTTGCCAATAAATTTAAATTCATATTATCGAACATTTTTAATTATCATTTTTACAAATTACCTTGTTGCTACGTAACGACACAATCCCTTAGGTACTAGTAAGTAGACAATCTTCATTATTTTCTAAAAATTTTAAACTTTACATTAATAAAAAAAAATAATAAATATTTTTATTGCAGATCAACATCATACACAGCTTTCATATCACTGTTTCTTAAATCACGTCATATTCTATAGTCTTACTAGAATTCTATACATTCTACAAATAAAAAAATCTAATTTCTCACAATGAAAGAAAATAAACTACAAATTTGGAACACTAAGCAATGCTTCACACACACACACACATATTATCAATGAACTCATATTATCAAGTGCAATTGCGATAGCAAATACTACATATTAAAATAAAACACGTATAAGTTATTTATAGGGTCAAATTTTGCTACTATTGTGTAGATCATCGGATTATCGATATTTTTCAGAAAGCATTATCAACATATCAAAACCAAACAATTAAAAATATAATAAAAAAAGATGTCTTGCAATTAAAAGTGTAACTTGCAATTAAAACAATAATGCGAATTTAAAATACACAAACGACACATTAAACATTGCATATGAAATACGTTACATTACAGCTCAGTATAACATACAGCCTCGCTTTGTTCATGTGCACAATGATCTGTATTCGCTCGAAAAACTTCAAAGAATTGCAAAAACTTGGGTTAATCTTTGGATTATGGTAACTTGGCGATTTTTTGGCGACCAACCCTGCTACAGCAACCTGCTAGTTTTTGTTTGAACACCATTTTGTTTTCACAAAGTAAAGTTTTTTTTTTTTTTTTTTTTTTTTTTTAACTCAACATTTTTTTCCAACAATCTGCTAGCTAAATTACGCTTATGCTAGAACTTTTATGAAACAAAAGTGCTTAATCATGACGAAGATTAGGTGTGAAATTGGGAGAAAGTGCAGAATCGCAAACTGCTTGCGTTTTTAAGAATTGCACATACACGGTATCCATGTACATGTCGACCTATTTTCACTTTAAAAAATCCCAGAATTGCACGAAAATGGCATTGCGCACACTCTTGACTTTATCCATGTACACTGCTAAAGTCCTAGCTAGTAACCTTTATCGCCTTACCAAAATGTCGCCAAACTACCTGTTACCATATTCCAAAGATTAGCCAAAACTTGGTGTCGATGTACACATCCATCTATTTTCACTAAAAAAAATCAGAGAATTGCACAAACTTGGCATTGTGCATTGCCTTGGCTTTATCCATGTGGAAGTCAATCTATTTTTACTTAGAAAACATTAGAGAATTCCACAAACTAGACATTGCGCGCTACATTGGCTTTTCCCATGTACACATCCATTTATTTTCACTAAAAGAATCAGAGAATTACACAAACTTGGCATTGTGCGCTGCCTTGGCTTTGTCTATGTGCAAGTTGATCTATTTATACTTAGAAAACATCAGAGAATTGCGCAAACTCTGCATTGCGCATTACCTCGGCATTGCACACTGCATTGGTTTTGCCCATGTACACATCCATCTATTTTCACTTAAATAAACATCCCAGAATAGCACAAACTCACCATCGCACACAACCTCGGCATTGCGCACCACATTGGCTTTGCCCATGTGCACATCGATATATTTTCACTTAGAAAAACATCCCAGAGTTGCACAAACTTGGCATCGCACACAGCCTCGGCATTGCGCACCACATTGGCTTTGCCCATGTGCACATCGATCTATTTTCATTTAAAAAAAACATCCCAGAATAGCACAAACTCGGCATTGCGCACTGCTCTATTATTATTTTTTTTTTTTTTAATTTTTACTTG